TCCATCCATCCATCCATCCATCCATCCATCCATCCATCCATCCATCCATCAATCCATCCATGGATCCATCCATCAATCATCCATCCATCCATCCATCCATCCCCACTCCTCAGTCCCTTGTTCCTGTTCCCTCCTGCAGGAACCAAGGCTGTGACTGGCTCTGCAAAGCACTGACACCAATGCTGGCCTTCTTCCCCCACTGGGGACCAGGCCCAGCACAAGCAGGTGATGCCATGGCCCAGGACAGGGATTTTTGGCTGCAGACCCCAGGGCTGGAGCTCTGGAGGGGAAAGGCTGTCCTGAAGGGCAGAGGCAGGGGAAGATGGAGGTTCTCAGGCATCAGAGCTGGGAAGGAGCCCCTGCAGGTGCCCTGGGCAGGGAGCTCTGGATGATCCAGGAGTGCTGGCAGAGCCCAGCTTAGTGCCCTGTGCTGGCCAAGCTGAGGTGACTGTGCAGAAATCAGAGCCGTGCCTGGCCCACAGAGCTGCTGCCAAAGGGCCCTGTGTGCCCTCTGTGTCCTCCCTGTCACCTGGAAGTGCTGACTGAGTCCTTCTCCTCCCAGCAGGCTGCAGGAACAGAAACCAGGGGAAGTGCCTGCTTCAGGAACATGGAGCTGCCTTTCTTGTTCCCCTCATGTCCACCTGCCTGGGAGAGGGGAAGGAAGGAGGTGAAATCCAAGGTGCTGAGAGCCTGACCCTGCTGGCAGCAGTGCCAGGAGCTGCTCCAAACACCAACCTGTCCTGCACTGCCCAAACAGCCTTGGCAGGAGCCACTCAGTGTGGCTGTGGGGTCAGCTGGAGGCAGGAGGGTGGCTGGAGGCCTGGTGAGACCCTGCACCATATTTGCAAAAGAGAAAAATCTGTGTGGGGGACCCTTCTTGCTGTGTTGTCATTTCCTCTGCTGAGGAATTCAACATTCTGCCAAAGGTTATTTCTTACATTGGGCTTTCCTGAGGCATTTCAAAAAATTCATCAGAGCTGGGAAGGGGCTCAGCCTGGAGAAAAGGAGGCTCAGGGGGGACCTTGTGGCTCTGCACAAGTCCCTGCCAGGAGGGGACAGCCAGGGAACAGGGACAGGACAAGGGGAAATGGCCTCAGGCTGGGCCAGGGCAGGCTCAGGGTGGACACCAGGAGGAATTTCTGCATGGAAAGGGTGCTCAGGCCTTGGCAGGGGCTACCCAGGGAGGAGGAGGTGTCCAGAGCAGGCCTGGATGTGACACTCAGAGGTCTGCCCTGGTGACAAGGTGGGCATTGGGCACAGTTTGGCCTCAATGATCCTGAAAGTCTTTTGTGAAGGATTCTGTGATTCTGTGTATTTACTTGAGTTCTCCTGCCCTGATGATGACATCAATAAAAACCAAAAAGCCAGAGGGGTGTCTGGAGTTCAGAGCTCCTGCTCTGATGTCCAGGGTGCTTGGAGCACAGAACACACTGTGGACACCCCTGCTAAGAGGACAATTTTGTAGGGCAGCAGGTGGAGTAAATTCAACCTTTTCTGTTCCTCCTCAAACTCTGCCCTGAGCATCTGGGGCTGTTTAACAGCTCCCCTGGGGCTCCTGTCCTTACACAAGTTTGGGTTCCAGACACTCCCAGGAGCTGGCAGGGTCTGTGCCCCATGGGAGCTCATCCTTCATGGAACGGTGCTCCCAGAACCTCCTCAGATGGCCTGGCCTGTGCCCATGCCCGGCAGCAGAGCCCCCAGCCCTGCCCTGGCTGGGGGAGGAGCTGCAGAACACAGAGCAGATTGTTCCCAGTGGCTCTGGGATGACAAAGGCCCTTCCATCCCCACAGCACCACGGGCTGGGCCCTGCTCTGGGAGGCTGTGAGTAACCAGCAAGGCCAGTGTGTCACTGCTCTGCTCCTGTTGCACAACTGCCTGCTGATTCACAGCTCCCCAGCAGTGCTGCTGCAATTCCTGCTGCTCACTGGCCCTGCAAAGCCCAGGAAGGGGCTGCCAGGCCCTGCTGGCTCTCCCTTTACACCTCATCAGCCCCAATTTGGTAATTTCTCCTCACCACAGATCAGTGTCCTCTGGGGATCAGCACAGAAGGTCCTGGGAAGGTTGTGTGGAGAGAGCTGTGGGAGCTGTTCCACCCCTGCCTGGACATCTCAAAATCCCCCAGTGCTGCAGGGATGTCTCCTGACTGAGCCACCAAGACCAAAGGTGTCTTTGTCCTTGGCCAGGCATCTCCTGAGGAATGGCTTCCCTCATGGGATAACATTTAACAATTGGACACGAGGGCCAGCTTACACAGCAGACAGAAAAATTTTGCCTTGCTTGCAGAGGGATGTGTGGGATTCTCAGGAGGAATTT